AAACTGAAATCTTTTTAAAATCTTCATTTCAGTTCAGTCACTCAGTCATGTCCGACTCTTTGCAACCCCATGGACTGCAGTATGACAGACCTCCCTGTCAAACTCATGTCCATCGCGTCGGTGATGCCATCCGACCATCTCACCCTCTGTCGTCCCCTTCTCCCTCCATCTTCAATCTTTCCCAGCATCAGGGTCTTTTCAAATGAGTCAGTTCTTTGTGTCAGATGGCCAAAGTATTGGAGCTTCAGCTTCAACATCAATCCTTCCAATGAATATTCAGGATTGAATTCCTTTAGGATGGACTAGTTAAATCTGCTTGCAGTCCAAGGGACTCTCAAGAGTCTTCTCCAACACCACAGTTCAAAAGCATCAATTCTTCAACACTTGGCTTTCTTTATAGTCCAACTCTCACATCCATACATGACTACTGGAAAAAACAGTAATTTTGACTAGATAGACCTTTGTACTATCTTTGCCTAGATGGACCTTTGTTGGCAAAATAATGCCTCTGCTTTTTAATATGCTGTCTAGATTGGTCACAGCTTTTCTTCCAAGGAGCAAGCATCTTTTAATTTTATGGCTGCAGTCACCATCTGCAGTGATTTTGAAGCCCCCCAAAATCACTGTTTCCATTGTTTCCCCATCTATTTGCCATGAAGTAATGGGACCAGATACTATAGTTTTCTGAATGTTGAGCTTTAAGCCAATTTTTCACTCTCCGCTTTCACTTTCATCAAGAGACTCTTTAGTTCTTTTTCGATTTCTGCCATAAGCATGATGTCATCTACATATCTGAGGTTATTGATATTTCTCCCGGCAATCTTGATTCCAGCTTGTGCTTCATCCAGCCCCGCATTTTGCATGATGTACTCTGCATATAAGTTAAATAAGCAGGGTGACAATATACAGCCTTGACATACTCCTTTCCCTATTTGGAACCAGTCTGTTGTTCCATGTCCAGTTCTAACTGTTGCTTCTTGACCTGCATACAGATTTCCTAGGAGGCAGCTCAGGTGGTCTGGTATTCCCATCTCTTTAAGAATTTTCCACAGTTTGTTGTGATCCACACAGTCAAACACTTTGGCATAGTCAATAAAGCAAAAGTAGATGTTTTTCTGGAACTCTCTTCCTTTTTCAATGATCCAACGGATGTTGGCAATTTGATTTCTGGTTCCTCTGCCTTTTCTAAATCCACCTTGAACATCTGGAAGTTCACAGTTTATGTACTGTTGAAGCCTGGCTTGGAGAATTTTGAGCATCACTTTGCTAACATGTGAGATGAATGCAATTTTACAGTAGTTTGAGCATTCTTTGGCATTGCCTTTCTTTGGGATTGGAATGAAAACGGAAATTTTCCAGTCCTGTGGCCACTGCTGAGTTTTCCAAATTTGCTGGTATATAGAGTACAGCACTTTCATACCATTATCTTTTAGGATTTGAACTAGCTCAACTGGAATTCCATCACCTCAACTACCTTTGTTCATGGTGATGCTTCCTAAGGTCCACTTGACTTCACTTTCCAGGATGTCTGGCTCTAGGTGAGTAGTCATACCATCGTGATTATCTGGGTCGCGAAGATCTTTTTTGTACAGTTATTCTGTGTATTCTTGCCACCTCTTCTTAATATCCTCTGCTTCTGTTAGGTCCATACCATTTCTGTCCTTCATTGTGCCCATCTGTGCATGAAATATTCCCCTGGTGTCTCTAATTTTCTTGAAGAGATCTCTAGTCTTTCCCATTCTGTTGTTTTCCTCTATTTCTTTGCACTGATCACTGAGGAAGGCTTTCTTATCTCTCCTGGCTATCCTTTGGAACTCTGCATTCAAACGGGAATATCTTTCCTTTTCTCCTTTGCCTTTTGCTTCTCTTCTTTCCTCAGCTATTTGTAAGGCCTCCTTAGACAACCATTTTGCCTTTTTGCATTTCTTTTTCTTGGGAATGATCTTGATCACTGCCTCCTGTACAATGTCATGAACCTCCATCCATAGTTTTTCAGGCACTCTGTCTATCAGAGCTAATCCCTTGAATCTGTTTGTCACTTCCACTGTATAATTGTGAGGGATTTGATTTAGGTCATACCTGAATGGTCTAGTGGCTTTCCCTAGTTTCTCTTCAATTTAAGTCTGAATTTGGCAATAAGGAGTTCATGATCTGAGCCACAGTCAGCTCCCAATTTCATTTTTGCTGACTGTATAGAGCTTCTCCTTCTTTGGCTGCAAAGAATATAATTAATCTGATTTCAGTATTGACCATCTGGTGATGTCCATGTGTAGAGTCTTCTCTTGTGTTATTGGAAGAGGGTGTTTGCTATGACCAGTGCATTCTCTTGGCAGAACTCTATTAGCTTTTGCCCTGCTTCATTTGGTACTCCAAGGCCAAATTGGCCTGTTACTCCAGGTGTTTCTTGACTTCCTACTTTTGCATTCCAGTCCCCTATAATGAAGAAGTAAAAAAACTATCAAATGCAAACCATGGGATTAATGTCAATAATCAGAACAAGGCATAGAATGCTGATCAATTCAGCAAGAGTTAACCATACACTTCCTAAAAAGAGGAAATTCTATTGGGCTTCTTGGATTTAGTGTATGGCAACAGAGCTCTTTGATACCTCCATTTATTGATCACGCCTTCAGTTACTACAAGAATTTCATGATCAAAATTCATTGTACAAGGACTTCCCTGATAGTTCAGTGGCTAAGACTGCATGCTCCCAATGCAGGGGGCCTGGATTCAATCCCTGTTCAGGGAACTAGATTCCATATGCAGCAGCTAAAGATCCCACATGCCACAACAAAGATCAAAGATCCCAACATGCTGCAACTAAGACCAGCACAGACAAATTAAAAAAAAATTTTTTTTAACTCGTTGTACGCAGGAGGAATGCACTTTGCACACTGAAATACAAACGCAGATTCTTCTTATGGACCAGTTATTTACTGAGATACTTAAGCTACTAGTGTCATCATGAAACAGAGTAGTCAGCAATTTTCTAGTGAATTTTTTATAAATAAATTAAGCCAATCCCAGACAATAAAATTTCTATTAGTTTTAATAGTAACTTTGCTTCTACTTTTCCTGGAATAGTCTGATATTTAGTAACCCAGATTATTACCCCTGTGCTCAAAATTATTCACACTGTTTATGAATTTGTAAGCTACGATCAGTGCTGGGTGTTCACTGGAAGGACTGATGCTGAAGCTGAAACTCCAGTACTTTGGCCACCTCATGTGAAGAGCTGACTCATTGGAAAAGACCCTGATGCTGGGAGGGACTGGGGGCAGGAGGAGAAGGGGACGATAGAGGATGAGATGGTTGGATGGCATCACTGACTCAATGGACATGGGTTTGAGTAGACTCCGAGAGTTGGTGATGGACAGGGAGGCCTGGCATGCTGCGATTCATGGGGTTGCAAAGAGTCGGACATGACTGAGCGACTGAACTGAACTGAACTGAATAGGATTATTTAAAATATTATGCTTCTTTCTCTCTGCAAGCATTTATTTATTTAACAAACAGTTATCAACTTCTGCCTGTATTCCAGCCTCTGTACCAGGCCCCAAGGACAAAGTGAGAAGCAAAACTGAGCTCCTGCATTTAAGTTCACAGATATTCACAAATAATTATAGCAAGGGATACAAACCCTAACAGAAACTCTCAAGTCGATTAACTTTTATAAGGTCAATGTAAGGAAGGAAACTTTCCTTGATGTCCCATGGATAAAGACGGAAGAGATGACATAAGAAGAGAAAGGTGAGAAGGCATGTGCTTGGCAGAGTTTATGAGGAAGGATACTCCTGGCAGAGAAGCTGCACCTGCAAAGAGAGGAAGAGGTCACCCCACAGAGAACAGAGTAGGCGGTCTCCTCTGGCTGTGCCCAGGAAACAAGAGGAGAAGGGTGGGAGAGAAGCTGGGTAGTCAATGGGAAGCCCCTAGAACTGTACACCGTGGTCAGGAGTTTAGATTTCCTTCTGCAAGGAGCAAGGAGCCACCAAAAGATTTGAAGCAGGATGTAATCAGATCATGCTTACAGATTCCTCTGGAAACAGCAGAGAATGGACTAGAGAGGGTAGGACTAGAAGCACAGGAACAAGTTGGGAGTTTATACAATTGTTCATTCAAGAAACAATGAGCACTATCGAACATTTAACCATTGAAAAAAATTAAAGTACCATACTTGCTTCAACAGGGATGAACCTCAAAACATTTTGCTAAGTGACAGGAGTCAATCACAAAAGGCCACCCATTGTATAATTCCATTCATATGAAATGTACAGAATTGGCCAAACTATAGAGGTATAAAGTAGATTATTAGTTGCCATAGGCTGGGAGGAGGAGGGATTGGGAGAATAGCTAAGGGGTTCTGTTTGTGAGGTGATGAAACATGTTCTAGAATTGACTAGAACTAGGTCACAACTGCACAACTCTGACTATAGTAAAAGCTACTGATTTATATACTTTAAAGGTAAGTTTTATGATATGTGAATTATATATCTCAATAAAAACTGTTTCTGGAAAAACAATGAGGTGGGGATGAGAGCAGTGACAATTCTCTAATTCTGATTGGCTGAGCTAGGTGGATGGGGCCACCACAAAGCAGGACAGGGAATTCAGAAGGATGACAGGCTCTTTTATGGACAGTTTGGTTTGAAATGCCTGAGAAGTATCAAGATGGTGATGAATAATAGCCAGGGGAACTTATGACAGAGGGCCCAGGGGAAAAGATTTGAAGTAATTCAGCACATAGTTTCTATTTATGTCTACGGGAGTGAATACAAGAAACTAAGGGGGGCATGTGGGGTGAAAAGAGACCAGAGCTAGCCCAGTAAGGAATGCCATATTTAAGGAACAGACAGAAGAGGTGCTTTCAAAGGAGGGTGAGAGGAAGCTATCAGAGCACAAAGAGGTAAATAAATAGCCTAACAGCTGCTGAGCCTAGTCATGTCACTAACAGTGTTTCAAAATACTCGGGAGCATCTCTAAACATGATTTTGTTTAATCAGGGAATGTGGACGTCAAGTGCACCCGTCTGGGACCCTGCAAGACTGCCATTGCCCTGCGACTCAGCCCACTAGCTGGATACCAAACACCAGGCTTCTGTGCTGTTCTGAGACCTAGACTACCTGCCTATGCTCACCTGTCACGTGGTAGGGAACATGCGTTTTTATTTTCCCTGTTCTGCTAATGAAGTGGTTATGTTCAGCTTTCATCATAATTAGCATTCATTTAGTTCAAGTGCTTTTTAATTAATCTTTTATGCTAATTAATCCTTTTATACATTAATACATCAAAAACATGTGAAAGAAAACTTTTTTTAACTTGCAAATTAAATTAAGCTTCTTCACCTGAAAAGCAGAGTGAAAGGAAATATAACTAGACAAATCAGACCACAGAAACCTCTGTTTGCTGAAAAACTGACCCTGTGGCCTGCATTAAATTCTGCATTCAGAGAACTGGAAAAATTAGCTCAGCCAAACCATACCTTGTCCATTCTTCCCAGCTAGCAAGACATCCCTTCTCAACTAGCTTATGGTTTTAAAAAATAAAGAGAGTTTTCAATATTCCTTTTTATTATTAATTCAAATTTTAAATGTGGAATTATCAGCAAATACTGCCAAGGTAGGTGCTGCAGATTACCTTCCAAGCGATAAATAGGCCTGCCCTTGGTATGTCCTTCTTTATGATTTTATATAATCTCTTTCAGATGTTTTTTCTGTCTTGATCTTCACAGTAACCTGGGGTGGAGATAGCATGGTCAAGAGAGAGGCTGCTTGGGTTTAAACTCTGACTCCGTTTCCCCAGTTAAGTGACCCTGGGCAGGTCACTCTCTGTCCCATTTTCTCATTTCTAAAATGATTGCTACTCATTGGGGCTGCTGTTTAGAAGTGTGCCTGGTATACCATAAATGCTCAATAAATATTACAGTTGACATCTGAACAACTTGGGTGAGTTTAAGGAGACTGATCACCCTCCCACCTCTGAAGTAAAAAACCTGACAGAACTTTTGACTTCAAAATACTCTTAACTGCTGATCATCTATTGTGGATCAGAAACCTCCCCAAAACATAGTCGACTAACATATATTTTGTATGTTATATGTATTGTAGTTGCTGTTAAGTTGATCAGCTGTGTCCAGCTTCTTTGCGACAACCTCCAGGCTCCACTGTCCATGGGATTTCCCAGGCAAGAGTATTGGAGTGGGTGGCCATTTCCTTTTCCAATGTTACATGTATAAGTGAAGGTCACTTAGTTGTGCCCGACTCTTTGAGACCCCATGGACTGTATAGTCCATGGAATTCTCCAGGCCAGAATACTGGAGTGGGTAGCCATTCCCTCCTCCCAAGCAGGGAGGAGGGTATCTTCCCAACCCAGGGCATCTTCCCGACCCAGGGATCGAACCCAGGTCTCCTGCATTGCAGGCGGATTCTTTACCAGCTGAGCCACCAGGAAAGCCCAAAAGTTGCTCAGTCTTATCTGACTCTTTGCGATCCCATGGACTATGCAATTCATGGAATTCTCCAGGCCAGAATACTGGAGTGGGTAGCCATTCCCTCCTCCCAAGCAGGGAGGAGGGTATCTTCCCAACCCAGGGCATCTTCCCAACCCAGGGATCGAACCCAGGTCTCCCACATTGCAGATGGATTCTTCTCCAGCTGAACCACAAGGGAAGCCTGTTATACGTATACCTACATATAATTTACACATTCATGAGGTAACTTTTTCTTACTTTTTCACTATTCCTAGCCTGCAAGATTCATCTGCATTTTTTCAAGTTGCCACAAATCCCAAAAAGTTTTTTCAATATACTTATTGAAAAAAAATCTGAATATAAGGGGACTTGTGCAATTCAAACTTGTGTTGTTCAAGAGTTGGCTATATTAACACTGTAGTTACCACTCATCAATGTTCCTGAGACCAGAGGCATAGAAACACAAATAACACATAGCAGAACTCTAGCCCCTACCCATCAGGAGTTCAGATGATACATCAGGAGTTCAACCCAGCACCTCAGTGAATAGCCCCAGGGGACGCGTGTTGGTGCTAAACCAAAGAGGCCTCCAGGACAAGTGCTGGAAAGGCCCATCCACACGCCTATCCATGACAGCCAGGCTCTTGACTGGGTAACCTCCAGCTCAAGGATACAGCATAAACTATGTTGATTATTTGTCCATCCAGAAGAGAGTCACCAAACAACACATTTCCAAATGGTAATCTGCCATCTTTTTCTACATTAAGACTGAAACATATGACAAGCATGTTAGTCTGTGTGGCCAGGATTTGTGCATATATTCCTGGGGTCCCTTCCATAAGGAGATCCAGGCCCTTTATCTGTATCTGTTAAAAGTATTCCAAAACCTTTCTTTATGCATGTGGCAGGAATTTGGTTTATCCTCAGGTGTATCACCTTGCCTTTCTACCCATCAAGGCCTGGTTTTCAGCCCCAATAGCTCAGGGGTAAGGAATCCACCTGCAATGCAGGAGACTCAGGAGACACAGGTTCGATCCCCGGTAGGGAAGATCCACTGGAGGAGGAAATGGCACCCCCACTTCAGTTTTCTTGCCTGCAAAATCCCATGGATAGCCCATGGGGTTGCAAAAGAGTCAGACACAACTTAGCAACTAAACAACAACCACCACAAGTACAGCAATTTGTAGATTAAAGGGCTTTATTAAAAAAATCAATTTTACCTTATTTGATACTCAAAATAGTCAGACAAATTATATTCTTCATTTTACAAATAAAGAATCTGAGTGTTCAAGTGCCTTCCATCCATCTTGTGCTCAGTTGTGTCTGACTCTTTCTTTCTTTTTTTTAATATTTAATTATTTATTTGGCTGCACCAGATCTTAGTTGCAGCATGTGGGATCTAGTTCCCTGACCAGGGATTGAACCTGGGGCCCCCTGCTCTGGGAGCACAGAGTCTTAGCCACTGGGCCACCAGAGAAGTCCCTGTGTCTGACTCTTTCATGACCCTATGGACTGTAGCCCTCCAGGTTCCTCCATTCATGGGATTTTCCAGGCAAGAATACTGGAGTGGGTTGCCATTTCCTCTTTCAGGGGATCTGCACAACCCAGGCATCAAACTTGCATCTCCTGGGAGAACCAGGAGACACTGCAGGTGGATTCTTTGTAGGTGCCTAGTTTAAGGCTAAAGAGCCAAAACACGTGAAAAAGCTTTCCTGATATAAATCTGATGCTATTTCTATGAAACCTTGCTATCTCTTTCTAGGTATGAAAGATATTCTAGTTATGAATTTTCCATTTGCTATGTCATCTTTTTTCCTTTTTGAAGATTTATTTTATAATAAAATAATTTCAGATTTATTAAAATGTAAAAATAGTACAGTGAATTTTTGCATACAGTTACCCTCTCTATCCATGGGTTCTGTATCCACAAATTCAACCAACTGCAGATAGAAAATAGTCAGAAAAAAATTCCAGAAAATTCCAAAAATCTAGACTTAAAATTGCTGAGCACCAGAAACTATTTACATAACATTAATATCACATTAGCTACCTTGAGTAATCTAGAGATGCTTTAAAATATACAGGAAGATGTGCATAGGTTATATGTAAATACTATACCATTGTAATAAGGGACTTGAGCATTCACACATTTTAGCATCTGCAGGGATTCCTGGAATCAACTTCCGAGGATATGGAAGGATGATGATATTCTTCAGCCAGCTTCCCCCAAATACTAATATTTCACATGTCTACCATACAATTATCAGAATCAGAAAATTAGCATTGATACAGCATCATTATCTAATAATTTAGACCATTCAGATTTCACCAATTTCCCATTAACATCCTCTTTCTGGTCCAAGATCAAATCTAAAAATCACATGTTGCATCATCTATGATACCTTCTTAGTCTTCTTCTATCAAAAGCAGTTTTTCAGTCTTTGCCTCTGACAGCCTTGGCACTCTGGAAAAATACTAGCCAGTTCATGTGTAGATGGTTCCTCTCTTTGAGTCTGTGATGAATTCTCATTATTAAAGTCCGCTGCGCATTTTTAGAAAGAATTCCACGGAAGTGATGTGTTCTCCCCAGTGTGTCATATTAGGAGGCACAAGATGTCAATCAGTCTAGTTACTGATAATGTGAACTGTAATCACAAAGTTAAGTGGCATCTTCCAGGCTTCTCCACTGTAAAGATATTTTCCCCTACTTAATTAATAAATATTGTCTGGAGAGATACTTTAATATTACAAAATATTGTTTTTCATCATCTTTTCACCCACTACTTATATGCTGAACAGCAATTTTCTATTTGGGGCTTCCCTGGTAGCTCAGTTGGTAAAGAATCTGCATGCAATGCAGGAGACCCTGGTTTGATTTCTGGGTTGGGAAGATCCGCTGGAGAAGGGAAAAAGCTATCCACTCCAGTATTCTGGCCTGGAGAACTAGTCCATGGGGTCGCAAACAGTCAGATAGCACTGAGCGACTTTCACTTTCATTTGGCTTCCCTGGTGTCTCTGATGGTAAAGAATCTGCCTGCAATGCAGGAGACCTGGGTTCGATCCCTGGGTTGGGAAGATCCCCTGGAGAAGGAAATGGCAGCCCACTCCAGTACTCTTGCCTGGAAAATTCCATGGATGGACTTCATTCTTGCTTCATTCATTAGCTGGAATTATTTTTTAAAGAAAAGCTATTCCTCTCCCCTATTTATTTTTTATATAGAAACCCAAATATTATTCCTTTATTGTATATGCTTTAATTCATTAATATTTCTATTTGATTTGTTGTTCAAATTCCCCAATTAGGCCACTGAGAGCTCCTTCAAGTTGGTTTCTGTATCCATTTGACAGATTATCATCATTTTTCTCACTAGCTCTGAAATATTCCAGATACATCATGTATTTTCCCATCCCCAGCCCTAAAGTCAGGTATTTTATGAGTGCATACAATTTTGTTTACTGATAGTTATTTTTTGATACCAAGCTTTTATTCTACATATACTCACTAGTCACTGGGCTCCATAGATTCTAGGCATTCTCAGCAAGCAAAGCTAAGGCAAACATATACACATGGATATCAATTTCTATACTGGTAAATAGAGATAATGTTACTCTTTCTTTACTAACTTTTATTTTTAATAGATTTCTCTTGTTGAATTGCACTGGCTAAGATCTCTAGTA